ATCTAGATGATCCAGCAGAAAACTAGGTGATTGGATCAGCGTGACTGACTGTTACGCCATGATACTTGTGAATAAATATTACCCCATATACTTCGACACTGTGCAGGTCATGTTTTAGTCTTATTTATCCGTACACACAACCTCAAAACATCTCATCTCACAGAAATTCACGATTCAAGCACGAATCAAAGCCCTTTATTGAACCGGGGAGAGGCTAACTTAACCAGTTATGATCCACTTTGCAGATATTTCTCCACCTTATGATGCAAGCACTCTTTTTAATGTATTCTTAATTCGCGTATTTTTATCTGTGTGATGGGAAACAAAAATTTTGTCGTTTCCAAGCACTAATTTAACAGTAGTACGGTATCGCCATGAGTCTTGATAGACTAATTAATCCTTCTGAAAAATATGGCTTCATTTTATTTTGAGGCCGCTCTAGCGAGCAGTTTTCCATATTCAGTGCGAAACAGTGATCGCATTCTAGAAGTTGGTTCTGGAATCATCGTGCCATCAGGCTTTGAACCGATACTCTCGCTGTAATGTTTTGAAGCTTTGACTATTCCCACGTAAGTGCCAGGTGAAACACTATCGCTAAATCCTTAACACAGCTCGACATAATTTCTGTTAATTCCAATAAGAAAACGTCTTCTGCTTCTTCCTTATCTGGCTAAGACGTTCATCGTTAAGTCCTGGCTAAACGTACGTTTGCCTGGTTTACAGTCAGAAATACCCAGCGACAACTGCACTTACGTAAAATTAATTTTGTGAATGTATATATGTAGCTAATTTTTAGTCAGCTGTCAGGAGTTGGTCAAGGCCAATGGCAGGCGGAAGGAGCACGCATGAGACAGAATGGACGCATGTCTAGCATGCCATTTTATTCATAGGTCAGAGGTCTGGTGTCCTTTTCTTTGGCTGCACCGAAGTGCAGTGAGGCGAATTCTTTGGTCAAGGTAACTAATAGATGATAAGAGAAAATTCACGCTTCTCGTTGCTTTTGAATCCGCACTCTAACGCGCAGTCAGTGACCTCCCCCCAAAAAATCATTAAGCAGTAAGTAATATAAGAGTCCTTCAAAACCAATGGTACTGTGATCCAGTGGTTAGAGACACAAGATAAGGCAAATAAATGGATTTCTACTGACGTTTCAAACACTTCACGGTGTTCCTCATCAAGACAATAATCATCAAGCGCAATTAATGGGTACATACAGATATCGATGTTTACGCAGTGCGATTACGTTTCAGATTCAACGGTGTGCGAGCTTACGTCAAAACCACGTCTATGTTGGTTTTTAGCATAATTGCTGAATATACATTGATTATGCGGACATCAACATTTGTACATGCCTGTTAATTGCTGTTGTTTTCCGATTTGTAAGTGTTTCTAGATTTGTTGATATATAGGTAGTCAAATTCCGCTTCAGTGGTACTAGACAGAGGAACAGACAGACGGTAGGTATTGTTATAATCACCGACGTTTTATCCAAACTGCACTGGCCATCCTGAGGGAATGCATTGAGGTAATAGACAGTGTCCAAAAATTAATAACGCACACGTACATTTATCGGTGCACACACCTTATGGCGTGCCACTGGTAAGGCGTCCACTGATAGAACCCTTCCATTTGTCTTCTCTCTCTCTCTCTCTCTCACACAACGGTATTGCAACTATGGAAATTTCCTTACATTATGTTGCTTCAGATCACGTTTTGTTTTGATGAAGTCATTCGCTGCGGATTTTCAAGGTGCAAAGCTGGCTGAATTTTGACCATGCTGTTCACAGACAAATCAAAGCGTATTACCGCCGGTTGCAGCGTTGTGTTTTAGGTGAAAGACCACGCGGTCGCTGCTGTACTCAGTTCGGTGAAGCCACCCGCTGAACGGGTGACATTGACCTTGCCGATTTTGAACGCAGCTCGTAATGTTGCCTTCGTCGTCACTGGTGCTGAAAAAGCTGCTATCGTGAAGGTAAGATCGCCGATAACGTATTAACGTAACACATGGAATTAACTTAACAGAGGGTTATTGACGGAGACGACTCGTTACCGGCGGCTATGGTTCGTCCGACGGACGGACGATTGTACTGGGTGATGGACGAACAGGTTTCCCGTGGGCTAAATTAACATAACCTCTTGAGTTACCGAGAATGCTGCAACTGTTTTTTAAAAGGTAACGGTGAATGTAGATATACATTGTATATTGTACTGTGTGTATATAACAGGACATATATACATTGCTTACTATAGGATTGGACGATCGTTAGCATTACGGTAACATCGCCGCTAACGCATTAACGTCGCCAGTGCAAGCGGCTTAATAGAGAATTCTTGTCTAAAACGCTACGTTACAATCTGCCGTGGTTCGATCAGCAGATCTGCTCAATAGTGGAGGACCTGACATTTTGTGGAGTCAATTTTCAGTAGATGCTATTCTAGCATAACTGCTGTAAATACAGTTAAATTTGTAAAAACTTGTAAACGCCAAATTTCAACTAGGCGTGTGTCAATGTACAACGTGTTTGAGTTCGGTACTAATAGTAGTTGTACTTAAGTAAATTATTATAAAGATATCTGGGTGTTTATTTTTTACCGGCGGTCTGTAGTAACAGCTTCTGGACAGTATTTTAGGCATTAGTTCCCCAATATACATAAATGTTGTTAAGCACGCGGCTCCACGTAATGTTGAACAATTCAGTCCAAATTATCTTCGCTTTGTAGCCGTTTCTTCTCCGGCTCGAAGAACGCAAATGCGTTGGTTTCGATACGTCATCGACATGATGGATAAAAGATGGGCAAGCGGATTCCTTTTGATGAATCACATGGAAGACGATCTAGGGGCAGATGGCGAACCCAATATCTCTATTATGTCGAGGACCTGGCATTTTTTTGCTGTGAGATCTAGCCTATTAAGATTACTAAATGGTGGCGGACCTAGACCATTGTTGTTGTGCTTGCAATTCTAATCTTAGAGTAGACTGAAAAAGAATGAATATTTGTAGGTTAATCCCTGTATTGATTACAACACCTACAGTGTGGACCGTAGATCATTCGCCTCAGACGAAACTGCCATTATCAGCTCATTTTTTCAAAAGTAGCCTAGTGGTTTTTAGGAGTATTGAATTTTCTAAAGAAAACTGAGCATCGTTACAGCTGATGCACGCAGTTTCACAGTAACTGTGAGGCTGCGGAGGTATACGGATAAATCGCGTAACCTGTTGAATGATTTAGTTGGTAATGAAATGCGATGTTTTCAAGAAAAAATGTGGTTCCACATTCACAACTGAAGTAAATGACTAAGATCAGTGAAATCACCAGGAGAGAAAGAAAAATAACAGTGATACGAACAAAATTATGAAGATCAAGCCCGTAAAAACAGGCATTGTCAGCTGCCATATGCTGTCATAATTTTTACGGTTGACCTAAAATCTATTAGCATGACAAGCTGCATTGATCAATTGCAGCAAACTTCTAGTATATCACATATATGCCCAGCCCATTTCTAGTTCTTGTTGTGAAGATATGCTAAGTCAACAGTAAATGCATATAAAACTCTAGTGATTTCAGGGAGAAATAGCTGAGTTACCAACAAATGACAGTAGTAATGATCAGTTACGATGTTTGATCCCTCTTCAGAAGCATATTTGTCATAGCCGGACAATGAATCATACAATAAAGTGTAAAAAAAACGCACAGTCACTTGACCCTCTCAATCGGCTGAAAAACAGCAAACTTGCTAGAAACCATATGTATATGCATGGGCTCAAACCATTCCCTAGTTTTTTGGAATGCAAAACACACGAGACAGGCATCG